CCATCCATCCATCCATCCATCCATCCATCCATCTACCCATCCATCCATCCATCCATCCATCCATCCATCTATACATCCATCTACACATCTATCCATCCATCCATCCATCCATCTATACATCCATCTACCCATCCATCTACCCATCCATCTACCCATCCATCTATCCATCCATCCATCCATCCATCCATCCATCTACACATCTACCCATCCATCCATCTACTCATCCATCCATCTATACATCTATCTTTCATCTATTCATCCATCCATCCACCTGTCCATCCATCTACACATCCATCCATCTACCCATCTATCTTTCCATCTATCCATCCATCCATCCATCCATCTTCTTCTTTCTAAGCTATTTTCCCAATGGAGGGATGAGCATTGTGACTGTTGTTTCCGCAGGGCTTTGTGTTGGGCCTTCTCAAGTCCCAGGTTGACAGCATGCATGCCTTTGTTGATGGTGTCCATCCATCTTTTCCGTGGTCACCATCCTGCAATCTCCAAATGCAGTGCTGTTTGTGCTTCTGACGGTTCTCTTCTCATGACTTGGTCAGACTACCTTAGCCTTGCTTTCTGCATTTTCTTGCTGATCGCTTTTATTCCTAGCCTTTGATCTCTGGGGTTGGTAGGGGGTGAGGTGGTCCCTCAGGTACATCGGCCCCAGACCATGCAAGGCCTTAAAGCTGAGTACCATCCCTTTGAAAGTGATCCGGTGCTCAATGGGTAACCAATGCAGCTGCAGTAAGATTGGGGTTATGTGGCATCTCATCAGAATTCCCGCAAGAAGCCGAGCAGCTGCATTTTGTACCAACTTGAGCTTCCGGATCACCGACAGAGGAAGGCTAATGTAGACGGCGTTACAGTAGTCCGGTCTTGAGATACATCCATCTATCCATCCATCTACCCATCCATCTACCCATCCATCCATCCATCATCCATCCATCCATCCATCTATACATCCATCTACACATCTATCCATCCATCCATCCATCTACCCATCCATCTACCCACCCATCTACCCATCCATCTACCCATCCATCCATCCATCTATACATTCATCTACACATCTATCCATCCATCCATCTATACATCCATCTACCCATCCATCTACCCATCCATCCATCCATCCATCCATCTACACATCTATCCCATCCATCTACCCATCCATCTATCCATCTACCCATCCATCGATCCATCTACCCATCCATCCATCTATACATCCATCTACACATCTATCCACCCATCCATCTATACATCCATCTACCCATCCATCTATCCATCTACCCATCCATCGATCCATCTACTCATCCATCCATCTATACATCTATCTTTCATCTATTCATCCATCCGTCCATCCATCTACACATCCATCCATCTACCCATCTATCTTTCCATCTATCCATCCATCCATCCATCTTCTTCTTTCTAAGCTATTTTCCCAATGGAGGGATGAGCATTGTGACTGTTGTTTCCGCAGGGCTTTGTGTTGGGCCTTCTCAAGTCCCAGGTTGACAGCATGCATGCCTTTGTTGATGGTGTCCATCCATCTTTTCCGTGGTCACCATCCTGCAATCTCCAAATGCAGTGCTGTTTGTGCTTCTGACGGTTCTCTTCTCATGACTTGGTCAGACTACCTTAGCCTTGCTTCCTGCATTTTCTTGCTGATTGCTTTTATTCCTAGCCTTTGATGGAGGGATGTCCTCATTTGGGGTGAGGCGGTCCCTCAGGTACATCGGCTCCAGACCATGCAAGGCCTTAAAGGTGAGTACCATCACTTTGAAAGTGATCCGGTGCTCAATTGGTAACCAATGCAGCTGTAGTAAGATTGGGGTTATGTGGCATCTCATTGGAATTCCTGCAAGAAGCCGAGCAGCTGCATTTTGTACCAACTTGAGCTTCCGGATCACCGACAGAGGAAGGCCAATGTAGAGGGCGTTACAGTAGTCCGGTCTTGAGATACATCCATCTATCCATCCATCTACCCATCCATCTACCCATCCATCTACCCATCCATCCATCTATACATCCATCTACACATCTATCCATCCATCCATCTATACATCCATCTACCCATCCATCTACCCATCCATCTACCCATCCATCTACCCATCCATCCATCTATCCATCCATCCATCCATCCATCCATCCATCCATCTACCCATCCATCCATCCATCCATCCATCCATCCATCCATCTATACATCCATCTACACATCTATCCACCCATCCATCTACCCATCCATCTACCATCCATCCATCCATCCATCCATCTATACATCCATCTACACATCTATCCATCCATCCATCTATACATCCATCTACCCATCTATCTACCCATCCATCTACCCATCCATCTACCCATCCATCTACCCAGCCATCTACACATCCATCCATCCATCCATCCATCCATCTACCCATCCATCTACCCATCCATCTACCCATCCATCCATCCATCTATACATCCATCTACACATCTATCCATCCATCCATCCATCCATCCATCCATCTATCATCCATCTATCATCCATCTACCCATCCATCTACCATCCATCCATCCATCATCTATACCCCATCCATCCCATCCATCCATCCATCCATCATCTATCCATCCATCCATCCATTCATCTACCATCCATCCATCCATCCTACATCCATCCATCATCGATCCACCCATCCATCTATACATCCATCTATCCATCCATCTATCCATCCATCGATCCATCTACCCATCCATCCATCCATCCATCCATCCATCCATCTATACATCCATCTACACATCTATCCACCCATCCATCTATACATCCATCTACCCATCCATCTATCCATCTACCCATCCATCGATCCATCTACTCATCCATCCATCTATACATCTATCTTTCATCTATTCATCCATCCGTCCATCCATCTACACATCCATCCATCTACCCATCTATCTTTCCATCTATCCATCCATCCATCCATCTTCTTCTTTCTAAGCTATTTTCCCAATGGAGGGATGAGCATTGTGACTGTTGTTTCCGCAGGGCTTTGTGTTGGGCCTTCTCAAGTCCCAGGTTGACAGCATGCATGCCTTTGTTGATGGTGTCCATCCATCTTTTCCGTGGTCACCATCCTGCAATCTCCAAATGCAGTGCTGTTTGTGCTTCTGACGGTTCTCTTCTCATGACTTGGTCAGACTACCTTAGCCTTGCTTCCTGCATTTTCTTGCTGATTGCTTTTATTCCTAGCCTTTGATGGAGGGATGTCCTCATTTGGGGTGAGGCGGTCCCTCAGGTACATCGGCTCCAGACCATGCAAGGCCTTAAAGGTGAGTACCATCACTTTGAAAGTGATCCGGTGCTCAATGGGTAACCAATGCAGCTGCAGGAAGATTGGTGTTATGTGGCATCTCATTGGAATTCCTGCAAGAAGCCGAGCAGATGCATTTTGTACCAACTTGAGCTTCCGGATCACAGACAGAGGAAGGCTAATGTAGAGGGCGTTACAGTAGTCCGGTCTTGAGATACATCCATCTATCCATCCATCTACCCATCCATCTACCCATCCATCTATACATCCATCTACACATCTATCCATCCATCCATCTATACATCCATCTACCCATCCATCTACCCATCCATCTACTCATCCATCTACCCATCCATCTACCCATCCATCCATCTATACATCCATCTACACATCTATCCACCCATCCATCTATACATCCATCTACCCATCCATCTATCCATCTACCCATCCATCGATCCATCTACCCATCCATCCATCCATCTATACATCCATCTACCCATCTACCCATCCATCCATCCATCGATCCATCTATCCATCCATCCATCCATCTATACATCCATCTACACATCTATCCACCCATCCATCTAGTAGTAAGATTGGGGTGATGTGGCATCTCATCGGAATTCCTGCAAGAAGCCGAGCAGCTGCATTTTGTACCAACTTGAGCTTCCGGATCACGACAGAGGAAGGCCAATGTAGAGGGCGTTACAGTAGTCCAGTCTTAAGATGACCGTAGCCTGGATATAGACCTACAGCTCAGAAAACTCAAAGCTACCCACAATTCTGGAATTGTGTCTTTTTCTTTTCTCTTTGGAAACTTGTAAAATAGGCTTGGGTAACAACGGAAAAATTTGTTTCTAAACTCGTTTCGTTTTTAGGGGGTCCATTGCGTTTCGTTTTTTTAAAGAATTCCGAATTTTTTCTTTAAAAAAATTCGAAATTTACGAAATTTCGTAAATTTCGAATTGATTCGTTAATGGCGGACGCGATTGCGCAATATGCAAAAAAAACCTCCAAATGGGACAGGGGGAACTTCTGAAGCTTCCCTCTCCCTCTGTTGTTGACTGTTGGTGTGATAAAACAAACAACAACTATATTATATTATATTATTATTATAATATTATATATTATATTATATTATAATATACAATTATAATATTATAATAATATAGTAATATATATATTATATTATTATAATATTATTATATTATATATTATTATATTATATTATTATAATATTATTATATTATATATATTATATTATATTATTATAATATTATTATATTATATATTATTATATTATTATTATATTATTATATTATATTATTGTACATTATATTATTATAATATATTGTATTATATATTATATATTATTATATTATATTATGAAAATAATTATGAAATAATTATGAAAATTGGAAAAATTGTTTCGATTCTTAATTACTCCTCACACTATTCCAAAATGGCTCAATATCGGATCGTAAGCTAATTTAAATACGAATTAAGAACGAATTACGAAATTAACGAACAAAACCGCCCAAGCCTATTGTAAAACTCTTGAAAACTTTGGGAAGAAGGTTAAATGTTGAAATCTGAAATTCAGATTTCGGAACTGAAACAGCTCAGCATTGAAAGAGCAAGTTAATCTCAACCTTTAGAGTTGAACCCTCCGGTTCATAACATGTATCTTCTCACATTTTCCCCTCCTTAGCTTTTCGTGATTCTTCTCGTTCTTCCTACAAGCGGTAAGTAGATACTTTCTCCCTTCTCTCTGTAGTTAAATAACCAGTAGAATTATCCCAGTGTTTTCAAGGACCGTGCATGGTTTTCTCCCTAATATTTTTCCTTCTCAGTTTCTTCTTGCGTGACGCGTTGGTTCGATCGGGATGACCCTTCGGGAGTGGGAGACTTTGAAACCACTGTCGACTTGAGGAAGGAATATCCTGGCCAGCTTTGCCCACATCCCATTGGGATTGAAGCCCAGACTGTGGACGGCATCCCTGCAGCCAACACAGGACAGACATTTAATCCGTGAGTGATGCCATTGGAGCCCTACACAGTTCTCAAACTGTGCTCCGTGGAGCCCTTTTTGGAGCAAAAATTTCTTGTGGAACCCCCGAGAAATATTTCTATATTACTAGCTTGGGGACCCAGCGCTGCCCGGGTTATTTGAGAAAGGAATTGTGTATCAAGGTTGGTCTTTATCAGTTATTTATATGGCTTGCAGTGGTCTCATGAAGTTAGTGAAGGTACTGCGAGTCCCATCGTCTGTGGTCCATCCTCCTCCAAACTGCACCAAGATGGAGAGTGGGTCATGGGGGCTCTGTGTGCCAAGTTTGGTCTTTATTGGTCATTAGATGAGTGTTGCAGAAGTCTTGGGAAATGAGTAGGGCTCATGGGGGCTCTGTGTGCCAAGTTTGGTCTTGATCGGTCATTGGATGAGGGTCCCAGCGGTCTCAGAAAGTGAGTGATGGTACTGCAAGTCCCATAATCCGTGGTCCATCCTCCTCCAAACTGCACCAGGATGGAGAGTGGGTCATGGGGGCTCTGTGTGCCAAGTTTGGTCTTGATCAGTATTGGATGAGGATCACAGTGGTCTCAGAAAGTGAGTGATGGTACTACAAGTCCCATCATCCATGGTCCATCCACCTCCAAACTGCAGTAGGATGTAGAGTGGGTCATGGGGGCTTTGTGTGCCAAATTTGATCTTGATCAGTCATTGGATGAGGGTCCCAGCAGTTTCAGGAAGTGAGTGGAGGTACTTCACCAGGATGCACCAGGATGTAGAGTGGGTTGTGGGGGCTCTGTGTGCCAAGTTTGGACTTTATTGGTCTTTGTTGGGGGCCTGTGTGGTCTGTGGGAACCAAGGGGTTCGAAAGTACTACAAATCCCATCATGCATTGTCCACTCTCCCTCAAACCTCACCAGGACATAAAGGGGATCATGGGGGTTATGTGTGCCAAGTTTGGTCTTGTTCAGTCATTGGATGTGGGTTGCAGCGGTCTCGGAAAGCGAGTGGAGGTACTTCATCCACCAAAAGTCGCCTCTTCTCCTGACTTTCTCTTCAGCCATTGGGACCAGAGAGAGAGAGAGAGAGAGACCTCCGGCTGGAGGTATCTCCCACCTCCGCTCCCTCCTTTGTTTTTGCGCCTACCTTCAGGAAAGGTGGGCATCTCCACCTCTCTCTCTCTCTCTCTTCTCTCTCGGTCCCAATGGCTGAGGAGAAAGTCAGGAGAAGAGGTGACTTTTGGTGCACACGCTGGGGTCTTCAGGCACGCCTCACGGACCCAAAGAGGGCCAGGCAAGGGAGCAAGTGCGGCAAGTGTAGTTACTGGGATGTATAGTTCACCTACAATCAAAGAGCATTCTGAACTCCACCAATGATGGAATTGAACCAAATATGGCACACAGAACTCCCACGACAAACAGAAAATATATATATCAATGATTGGTTGGGGGCGGGGTGCCAAAATACTGTTTGCTTACCATTGAAAATTACCTAGGGCCACCTCTGATCCCAGAAACAACCATTACATTTTTATTTATATCGATATTATCTATATAAATAAAAATGTAATGTTCTGGGCTACAACTCCCTCCGGTTTCCTCTCTTTCTCATCATGGTTCCTGCTTTTCTCAGGTTCAACGCTGTGGAAGGCTTCGCTTGTGTCAACGCAGCACAGAAAACTGGTTCCTGTCGGGATTACAGAGTCCGCTTTATCTGTCCTCCAGAGTTCTGCGCAGGTGAGCCTATGTAGGCCTCAGTTGCATCTACACTGCTCATTTAATGTAGTTTGACCCCACTTGAACTCAAGTTTTTGGGAATACTGGGAGTCATATTTCGGGGAGTTGCTGTTGGAGTTCAACCTGTGATTGTGTTTCCGGATCGGGGTGCTTTGGATGTGTGGAATGATGTAAATGAAGTTCAAGATGGCCATGGTTTTATAATTTTATCCCTTGCAATTAGCCCAGCCCACTGTGCACAATTTTTATTTATTTATTTATTTACTTACTTTATTTCTATGCCACTTTTCTCAGCCCTCAGGCGACTCAAAGCGGTGAACAACATCAGTACAAAACATCACAAAACAAGTATAGGGCAATTAAAAACAATAAATCATTAACATCCGTGTAACAATCATGAGCGCCTCAACAGTAAAATCAGAATCCAGTCTCGTCATCCATTATTCCGTATTCCTATGTTCAATACACTGTTTAATCAAATGCTTGTTCGAACAGCCAGGTCTTCACTTTCCTCCGAAACGCCAGCAGGGAGGGGGCCAATCTGATATCTGCAGGCAGGGCGTTCCACAGCCGAGGGGCCACCACTGAGAAGGCCCTGTCTCTCGTCCCCGCCAAGCGCACCTGTGATGCAGGCGGGACCGAGAGCAGGGCCTCCCCAGATGATCTTAATGTCCTAGTTGGTTCATAGGAGGAGATGCGTTCGGAGAGGTAAGTAGGGCCAGAACCGTTTAGGGCTTTATGTCCTAGTCGGTTCATAGGAGGAGATGCGTTCAGAGAGGTAAGTAGGGCCAGAACCGTTTAGGGCTTTATAGGCTAAAGCCAGCACTTTGAATTGTGCCCGGTAGCAAACTGGCAGCCAGTGGAGCTGGCGCAACAGAGGAGTAGTATGCTCCCTGAGTGCCGCTCCTGTTAGCAACCTGGCTGCCGAACACTGGACCATTTGAAGCTTCCGAGCAGTCTTCAAAGGCAACCCCACGTAGAGAGCGTTGCAGTAGTCTATACGGGATGTAACCAGAGCATGGACTACCGTGGCCAAGTCAGACTTCCCAAGGTACGGGCGCAGCTGGCGCACAAGTTTTAACTGTGCAAATGCTCCCCTGGTCACCGTCTTTCACCCTCCAAAACAATTGTTTGACAAAAGTTTCTGTAAGATAAGGGGAAACCTTCCCCTCTGCTTTTTGTTTACTTCCCATTGATAGCATTAACCCCAGGCATTGTTCCCCTGTCTCACAGCCAGGAAGGACACATGTTGATTCACAACACTCAAAGCAGCCCTGTATGGGCTCTTTGTCTCACAGAGCACATGGCATTTCCTTTGTTTAAAGATTCCTTCCCAGATTCCTTTGTGTTCCATCATCCCGCCTCCATCTCTCCTGATTGGCTGTCGCCACCAGGTGGCAGAGGTCTCCCCATTGGATCCTACGGACCACTGGAGCTTCCTGATTGGTCCAGAGGCACCGGGGGCGGGAGGGCCGCCTCCCAGGTGTCTGCCCATCACCCAATCACAGCAGGGAACAACAGGGAAGCCGGGGCGGGGAGTTTGAACTCTGCAAATTTGAATTTACTATAAATATGACTGCATTGGTGTAATCTCCTCATGCTCTGCTGGCGAATGATTGCAGCTTTGCATCCGGTTTCAGCTGAATCGCATTAAACTTCGATGGCTCTTCTTCAACTGGTGAGACTTTTCATTGGGAAATCAGGGAAAAATATGGGATGCTTCTCTGTCTCGCCAGGGAAAAAAGAACTCTTTGATGAGTCTAATTGGTCTCTGCCTCCTGGCAAAGACCCCTAAATTTTAGCTCCATAACATAGTCATCGCTGAAACCTGGGATTCCAGGCTCAGCGAGGAGTCCAAGATCACACCCAAGCTGCGAACCTGCGTCTTCAGGGGGAGTGTGACCCCGTCCAACACAGGCCGTAACCCTATACCCTGTTCAGCCTTACGACTGACCAGGAGTACCTCTGTCTTGTCTGGATTCAATTTCAATTTGTTCGCCCTCATCCAGACCGTCACAGCGGCCAAGCACCAGTTCAGGACCTGGACAGCCTCCTTAGTAGTAGGTGGAAAGGAGTAAGAGTTTGACATCATCCGCGTACAGATGACACCACACCCCGAAACTCCGGATGATCTCCCCCAGCGGCTTCATGTAGATGTTAAACAACATGGGAGACAATATTGAACCCTGAGGAACTCCACAAGACAATGGTTGTGGGGCAGAACAGGTTTCCCCCAGCAACACCTTCTGGGATCGACCCTCTAGGAATGAGCGGAGCCACTGTAAAACAGTGCCACCGAGTCCCATCCCCGCGAGGCGCCCCAGAAGGATACCGTGGTCGACGGTATCGAAGGCCGCTGAGAGGTCCAGCAGCACCAACAGGGACACACTCCCCCTGTCTAGCTCCCGGCGCAGATCATCCACTAAGGCGACCAAGACTGTTTCAGTTCCATGTCCCGGCCTAAAACCAGACTGTGCCAAATCCAGATAATCCGTGTCTACCAAGAATACCTGGAGTTGTGAGGCCACCACACGTTCCAGGACTTTGCCCAAAAAAGGGGAGATTGGAAACTGGCAGATAGTTGACAAATTGAGTGGGGTCCAGTTATGGTTTTTTTCAACAGCGGTTTTATTATAGCTTGTTTTAAGCTTGCTGGAATGTTGCCTTCCCGAAGGGAAGCATTAACCACCACCTTTACCCACTCGGCCAATCCCCCTCTGGCCTCCTTTAGAAGCCAGGATGGGGTCTAGGATGGACGTGGTTGGCCTCATTCCTCCAAGTATCTTGTCCACATCCTCGGGTTTCACCAATTGAAATGAATCCATTAAAACCGGACAAGCAGATGTTCCAGCTACATCCTCAGAGACTGCCGTTAATGTGGTATACCCTGTGTTTATCTTGTATTGTTTTGTTTTGTTTACATTTTATTTGATGTATTATTTGTTGTATGTACTCCTTTTGCTTTGTTGTAATTGTTGGGCTTGGCCTCATGTTAGCTGCCTCTGTCCCCTTGGGGAGATGGTGGTAGGGTATAAATAAAGTTATTATTATTATTATTATTATTATTATTATTATTATTACGAACAGGTTTATTTGATCAAACCACCCTGTTGGGTGAATAGTAGAAAGTGCCATGCAAAACTTGGACGCCATTTGAACTTTCCCCTCCTGTGCCTGCTTGTTACTAGACATTTTCCTTTCCAATTCTCATCCTTATTCCATTTCTTCTTTAGGATGCACAACCCGTTGGTTTGATCGGGACGACCCTTCGGGAAAGGGAGACTACGAACTCATCGTTGATCTCAGGAAAGAATACCCGAACGAGATCTGCACCGAACCCGTAGCAATCACCGTCCAGACGCTGGATGGGACCCCCTCCTCCCAGACTGGACAAACCTTTGCCGTGTAAGCAACCCTTTCTCGTTTCTAGATCGGACTAAAACCCAGAATGGTTTCAATGACTTGGGAGCCACTGACTGAGTGGGTACGTTACAGTTCCAACTCTGTAGCTACAACACTACAAAGACTGGAAAATTCCTTGTAGATGGAGCTTGTGTTGGAGTTCAGCCTATGATTGTGTTTCAGGATCAGGGTGCTATGGCTGTAAATGAGGTTCAAGATGGCCATGGTTTGGTCAGTGATATTGATGCAGAGAATGACAAAGAGACACCTGTTAAAAGTGTAGTTTCCCATGAGAATGTTCCTACAGGGTATAGGGATGACGGCTTACTCCCTGAATTGCTCCCAGAGAGTTCCCAGGATTTGGGGCTTGAAAACAACTCAGCACCTGCAGATACTACTAAGTAGGCTTGGGCGATCCAGTTCATTAATTTCGTAATTCGTTATTAATTCATATTTAAATTAGCTTACGATCCAATATCGAACCATGCAGGAATAGTGTGAGGAGTAATTAAGAATCGAAACAATTTTTTCAATTTTCATAATTATTTCGTAATTATTTTCGTGTGTCTGGTGCAAGTTTTACAATCTCGCATTTACCCCACTTCCGGTCCCTTTGCTCTGCTGCTTCCCTCCTCTTTCCTCGTGCTTCTTCTTGCCTCACTCTAATACACAATACTATAATATAATATATAATATAATAATATTATAATAATATAATATATATATTATATTATATTATTATAATGCTATTATATTATAGTATTGTTTATATTATATATTATTATATATTTTATTACTATATTATTATATTATAATTGTATAATATAATATAATATAATATATATAAATAATATATTATAATATAAAGTAATATGATACAATAATAATATAATATACAATAACATAATATAATAATATTATAATAATATAATATAATAATATACAATAATATAATAATATTATAATGTACAATAATATAATATAATAATATTATAATAATATAATATAATATAATATAATATAATATAATATAATATAATATAGTTGTTGTTTGTTTTATCACACCAACAGTCAACAGCAGAGGGAGAGGGAAGCTTCAGAAGGTCTGCCTGTCCCATTTGGAGGTTTTTTTAGCATATTGCACTATCGCGTCCACCATTAACGAATCGATTCGAAATTTACAAAATTTCAGAAATTTCGAAATTTTGAAATCTTAAATTTCGGAAGTCCTCAGAATTTAGAAACGCTAGCGCACCCTAGAAACTAAACGAGTTTAGAACCAATTTTTTTCTTGATCGCCCAAGCCTACTACTAAGCATTAGGCTTGGGTAGCTACAGAAAAATTTGGTTCTAAACTCGTTTCGTTTTTAGGGGG